AGCGCGCTCGCGTGAGGCGGTGCCCGGGGGCGGGCGCCCGCCCTGAGCTCGGGTCCTGGGCAGCGCGCGGGGAGGCTCTGGGCCTCTCTGCGCGCTGGGGGATGCGAAGTCCCTGGAGACCCGGGGTGGGGTGGGCTCGGACTGGCGTCATGAGCTGGGCCACATCCGTCGGGTCATGAAACAATCACGACTGTATTTTCAGCCTCCGGAGGCCATCCTAATTGGGCCTCGCGACCGTCAACCGGTTCCGGCGGGGAAATGGGTCGAGACCATTGGGGGTCGGCGTTATGAAAAAGTCATGACGTCGGGGATCTGGGGTTCTAGGCCTCCCAGTTCGGGTCGGAGCAGATGGGGTTGGAGGATCGCGCCGCATCGCCGATGCATCGGCGATGCGGCGCGATGTGGAGCTCGATTTTCTCCACGCCGACGTTGCTGATGCGTCGCCGACGTCGCTGGTGTACAGTCAAGCCACTGAAACACGGACCAACTTGTGCTCATCAGGGGCTGCGGTATTCGCGCCGTTCCTTAGATCTAGATCGGGGAACCTACTCGAAGGCGAGGCTCGCCGTGGCCAGAAAAGCGCCTCCGTTCTTTATTTGGCGTACTTTTTGGCAAGACGCTGATGGCCGATCAATGGCAGCGCCAGGGAGACACAATCGCCACCAGCTCGGAGCTCGGAGTATGACCGACGCATGGGTGATGCGTCGGCGATTCGGCGCGATGCTTGGACCCATCCCACTCCGATCCCATCTGGGAGGTTTCTAGCGCTGGCCGCGGGGGCGGTGCCCGTGGTTCTCGGGGATCCGATCCAACAAAAAGAGCGGACCTCTGAAAGTTTCTGTTTACGCAGTGCTCCTTTACACGCTGGTCATTGAAAGTAGATATTTGTAGGTATCCGAAAGAGCGCGTTCTGTGGTCGCTTGGACGGGGGGGGGGGTTCGAACCTCCCCCCTTTTCCCCTACTTCTCCTCTCTCCCTTTCCTCGGGCCGGTGCAGGCGCCAGGTGCGGCTGGCGGCGGCGGCGGCGGAGGTGCTCGTGGTGGTGGTAGTGGCGGTGGTGGTGGTGGTGAGATGGTTTGAGGTGGTTGTGGTGGTGGTGATGGGTTGTGCTGCTGGTAGTAGTGGTGGTGGTTGTGGCGGTGGTAGTGGTGGTGTGGTAGATTGTGGTAATAGTGGTGGTTGTGGTGCGCTATTGTATTGGTGGTGGTGGTGGTGGTGGTGGTGGTGAGCTGTTGTGGTGGTGGTGGTGGCTGCGGTGGTGGTGGTTGTGTGGTGGTTTGGTGGTGGTGGTGGTGGGTTGAGGTGGTGATGGTGGTGGTGGTGGCGGCGTGATGGTTCGTGGTGGTGGTGGTGGTGGTGGGCTGTTGTGTTGGTGGTGGTGCCGCTGCTGCTGGTAGTGGTACTGGTGATGGTGGTGGGTGGTGGGTGGTGGGTGGTGGTGGTGGTTGTTGTGATAGTGGTGTGGTTGTTCGTGGTGGTTGTGTTGGTGGTGTGTTGTGGTGATGGTGGTGCTTGTGGCGGTGGTGGTGGTGGTGGTAATGGTGTGGTGGTTTGTGGTGGTGGTTGTGGTGGGTTGTGGTGGGATGTGGTCGTGCTGGTGGTGCTGTTGGTGAGGTGGTTTGTGGTAATGGTGGTGGTTGTGCTGATGGTGGGTTGTGGTGGTTGTGGTGGTGGTTGTGGTGGTGGTCGTGGTGGTGGCGGTGGTGGTGGTGGTGGTGGTGGTATGGTGGTCTGTGGTGGCAGTGGTGGTGGTGGTGTGGTCTTGGGTTTTTTCCGCCATTGTGTTTTTGGCAAAGGGTCAGAGTTCTCATGGATGCCTCTTGAGGTCTCGTCAGAAGGGTCTCGGGGGCGTCTGAGGAGCATGCGAGGGCTCGATATGGCGATTTGTGTGTTTCCTCTGCGGCCTCTGGGCCCCTCCCTGGTCATCGTCGCTGCGTCCCCGCCGTCGGCGCTGCTGGCCGCCGCCAGCGCCCGCGCCAGCGCCGGCGCGGGGGGGGGTTTAAACCTCCCCGCCCCCCCTGGGCTCTCTCTGGTCATCGTCGTTGCGTTGGCGCTACGGCGGCCGCCAGCGCCGGCGCTGGCGCCAGGGGGGGGGGGGTTGGACCCCCTCCCCTGGGGAGGGGGGGGGGTTCAGGAGGGTAGGGGTTAGGTGGGAGGGGAGTCCCCTTGGTTTTGATCGACGGCGCCGAGAATTGGGGGGTGGGGGGGGGCACCCCCCAGTTCGAAACGCGCCGCCGAATGTTCCCAAGGCAAGCGCCCGTGAAACGCGCTCTCTCAGAGATCCAAATCCTAATGTACTTCAAGGGTCGAGTAGTTTTCCCTCTTACCTCTTCAGTGGGTGGGCACAAGCCCAGTCTGCTTTCAGCGCCTTCCTACTTCATGCTTCTATCTACTTCTTCCGACCGACGGGTAATGGCGGTTGGCTCAGAGGGCTCTACTGGAGAAAACGAAGAACACCATAGAAAAATCCCACGGGAGACGGGGAGCCCGAGACCGCCTGGTCCGGCAGGCGGCCCAGTAGCCGTTTCGCTTGAGATTTTTTCGCGACTTTTTCAGGCATCGTCGTTCTCGCCTAGGCCCGCTACGATCCCTACAGTAGTAAGACATGCACCGAGGTGCAAATGGCCGTGCTCTCACCCTCCGGCTACCTAGGAATGCACGTGGTCATTCGCTGACCTTCAGTGCTTCTCGACCCCCCTCCTCACCTCTGCTGCTACCAGTGCGCTTGCTGCGGGGGTAATGCATTTTGCGCCTCTGCTGGTGTAGTGCGTGTTTTGTTGCTCTTCTACCTCCGCCCTTCGTTTCGGGCTCTCTCCTTCGGCTCTCCCGCTCCGCCCGCTCCTTCGGCCCTCGGGCCCCTCGTGCTCTGCGCTCGCGGCCGCTCCCACGGCTCGCCCAGCCGCCTCCCTCTTCTCGCTCGCTCGTGGCGCTCCTGCTCTCTCTGGGTCCTCGGGTCGTCGGGTCCTCGGGCCGATCCGTGGTCCTGGTTCTTGCCCCCTTTTCTTCATCCACAGCCTTCTCCTCCCATTCCCATCCCCATCTTCTGCTGCTCCTGTCTCTGTCGGCGATGGAGCCTTGGAGCAAACGCAGCTATTCTCTCCCCCCCCCAAGTGGCCGTCGCCCCCAGGTGGGGGGGTCAAACGAGTATTGTGTAGGGTAGAAGAAAGCAGCCACGACAGCAGGGGATCCCCCAGGGGGGCGGGATAGCTATGTCCCCCTGCCACCCGTGTGGCTCCTCCTCTTCATCCTCCCCCTTCTTCCTTCTTTCGCATCAACTGTAGATCGGCCTGGTGGGCCCTCTGTATGCCTCGGATTCGCGCCCACGAGTCGGTCCTGCATCGGATTGCTTCGGGTACCGATCATGCGCTGCGCTGTCCCAGGGTAGCACGTAATCGCAGGGCGTAGGGTCATGGGCGTCGCTCTCCGCAGCGACGTTCTCCTTCCTGCTCCTCGTTCGAGGAGAGGGGGGGAGCCGACGTTGTCACCGGCCCTCCGCGGCGAGGGTTCTCAAAAGACATGGAAGCTTCGGTGAGGTCGCTCGTGCCTGTTGTCTGGTGGCGCTTCCAGTTGGCCAGCATGCGTTGCGGCCCTGATAATTACATTTTTTGATATATATATATATATATAAGTGGCGCTGCCGCGCATGTCCGCCACCGCACTTGTGGAGACATCTTGGAGGCAGCTTCTTGTGGGGGCCCTCTTGGAGGACCCCAAAACGGCTGATGATCTAGAATCATATTTTGCAGCACTTACGTTCATAACAGACTGTTTTGGAGGCATCTGGGAGGCAGTTTTTCTTTGGACGTTCTTGGATAATCCCCTAGACGGCTGAATATGTATAATCATGGGCAGACTAATTGTTGTGCAACACGCATGTTCAGACGTTCTTGAGCTTCTTCGGAGGCGTCTTGGAGACATCTTGCAGGTCCTCGGGGGCGTCTCGGAGGGAATGTTTGGGCCTCTTGGGGGCCTCTTGGGGGCCTCTGGGGGCCTTCTGGGGACCTGGCTCGCACGGCCGTATCGTGATCTGCGCGAAGTGCGGGGCCTCCTGTGCGAGCGATTTTGGGCGGGCTGGGAGGAGTCTCAATGTCGATTGCCCTGGGCCCCGCGGAGCCTCGGGCCGCCGCCGCTCTCCGAAGGACAGTGTGCAAGCTTCAGAAGGGTCTCAATCCCAAGACGGGGGCCCACATTACGTAACTGGCTTGGGCGGAGGTTTGGGAGGGATCAGCACTGGCCAGAGTGCTGATCCTTACGAATTTGCTGCGCTCAGGGGGGCCTCTGTTGGCAGGAGCTTCGAGCTGAGCTCACCTCTCTTGTCGCAGCGTCTTCCAGCCCAGCTGGTGGGCGTCTGCTAGACCCCGTGCCTCCCCGCACTGCCGCGTCGTAGCCTTGGGGCGCACCCGCCGCCAAAGGTGGCCAGGAGCGGCCATCAGAGGCTTGTTTTCCCTCCGGTCTGGGCCACGGGTTGCGCCCCGTCGGCCAGAAAGGAGTTCAACCCTGATGGGACAGCTGGCAGCGCCCATACAGGGCGAGCTCCGTTGAAACAGTCTCCTTCGTTCTCTCCAGGCGGCATTCCCAGACATCCGGCGTCCCGATTTATTCGAGACACGGGCCCCACAGACATCTCGACCACTTCCCCTGGACAAGTTTTTCATCCCGGGGTGATGTTTGACGGTCCCGAGGCCTGGTGAGGGCCCCGAGGGACCGGAAACGAGGGCGAACCGTCGTCCCGATGTTGTTTTTCGTATTCATTGTTTTACCGAACGGCGCGGGCCCCTCGCACCCCCCCTTCCCCCCCCCTCGAATAGACCTTGGCTGTTTTAGGCGCCTGTTTCACGCAGGTGGAGTCTCCCGCATAGGACGCGCTGCTGCAAACAGTCGCACTAAGCAGAGGTCCAGAGCCAGACCCCCCCCCCCCTCCCCGCCCACAGTCGAAACGCCGAATAAGAAACGTTCGCGTCCTGGTATGGAGGGGCCCGAGCCCTGAGCCGGGCGGTCAGGTCCAGCTGCCGCCGGCCATCCGGGGCGCGTCTCCGGAGCTGGAGGAGCTGCTGCGCAGCATGCTGAGGACGCGAGGACCGGGCAGGGGCGGGTGGGTGGTCTGTGAGGATGGGTCTGACGTCGGGTTCTGGCAAGACGTGAAGCCGTGGCGAAGCGTCTTGGCTCGCCTATAGGTACACCAAAAGAATGTTCTGCGAACCTGCTGGTGGTCTGCACGAGATGTTCTTAGAACATGTCTGGCCGAGACTGTCTTGTTTTAAGTCACCGGCCTCACATTCCAAGAACATTGCCTTCGTTATTCGAACATTCTTTCGTTCTAAGAAGATTTCGTGGTAGGCCTATAGGAATGCCAGGACGGTCGGTCCCTGCTCAGAAGTCCAGCTCTGTCAAGATAGCTGCATAACCAGACTCCCTCGAGTCATGACAAAATCACGGCGGGAGGTCAGCCTCTGGGGGCTCTTAACCAGGCCCCAGTACCGTCAAAACACGACTCGGGATGAAAGACCGGTCCGGGGGTATCGGTCGAGACCTTTGAGAGTCGAAATCATGGAAAATCATGACGTCGGGGGTCTGGAAGTTCAGGTGGTGGCAAGATACTTGCATACACAGTTCAGCACAGGTGGGAGAGAAGGGTTTGCAGCAGCGCCTTCCCGCCTCTGCTGCCATTTGCCTCAGAGGTCCCACAGACGGGCGTACGGACGAGGAATGATCGAGAGAAGAAAGACGGGGACCATGACAAAATTGTCGCGGGATTTAGTCGATGCTGATCTTGGTCATGGTCCATGTCGGCCGTCGCCGATTCGCGAGGATGATCCGCGATGACGCTGACCAAGATCGACTGTGACCAAGATCGACACGATGTTTCCGCTTTCAGTCTTGGTCATGGTCCCCCGTTTTCTTCCATTTCAAGTGAGGGGAGGGAGGCACGACGGGGAAGGCAGGACGGGAGTGGGGAAAGAGGGGTGGTGACGGACATACGGCGTTTCGAAAAAACACGAGATGGATGTGTTTCACAATTTTCATTTTTGTCTGAGGCTTTACCAGGCCTCGGGACCGTCAAAAACTGACTCGGGATGAAAAAAAGTTCCCAGGGAAGCGGTCGAGAGGTCTGGGGCTCGTGTCTCGAACAGTTTGTGACGCCAGATGTTTGAGATTTTCCTGGAGAGTTGATCTACCGATCCCGCTACTCTTCCCTCATCGCCACTGCTCCAGACAGGGTGGACCACAAGGTCCAAGCCACAGGTCCCCTGGGATCCCAAGACATGTTCTCACTAATTAACGTCCGCGTCCAGTAAGGGACGCATGAGCCTTTGGACGTAATGTGACTTTAGTGTGTTTGGGCCGTGTTGGGCCGCGCCCGTCATCGAATCAGTCAGTCAGTGAGTCAGTGAGTCAGTCAGTCAGTCGTCCTTTCCCTCCTCTATGTTCCGTCCTCCTCCTCGGTCGGTCGATCGGATCCAGCAGAAAGTCGAGGTCGCTGCGCAGCCTGAGTGTGAAAGAGCAAGCACAATGGGAAAACGAGAAAGTAATGGGCTGATTTTCCACCACCATTTAGCATCGGTAGGAGAGAGTAAGATGAGGAGGATGAGGAGGAGGAGGAGGAGGAGGAGGAGGAGGAGGAGGAGGAGGAGGAGGAGTGGGACCTCCTCATCCGTCTCCCCCGTCCTAAATTCGGTGGCGGTGGTGGAAAATTGGCCCATCAGGTAGAGCGAACGAGGGCAGCGCCAGGGACGGGCAACGAGGAGGCCAGCCCCAGGCCGCACGCGGTCCCAGCACCAGTAGCCTTGCCAGCGGGGGCGAGGTCCTCCGTCCTTCTCCTCCTCCGTCCTCCTCCGTGCTCCTCCGTGCTCCTCCGAAGTCTCATTCTGTATTGCGTCGCATGCCCGCTTGCTTGACACCTTGATTTGTTCCACCTCCGGGGCTGCATAGCCGTGGTTGGGGGAGTACAACTCGGGACTCCCCTATGGGGGGGGGGGCCATCGCCGACTTGACTTTGAAGTTGCACGGTAGGTCGCACGTCTCCGCATGCTGTTGGAGTGCGTTTCTAGGCAGCGTATCTCGACCTTCGGCCCGACACCGTATCGCCGCCGCCACCTCCTCCGTCTGCCACCTCGCTTCGGAAGTACAGCGGTTGCGAGAGGTTTCACTTTTGTCGAGCTCGATGCTCGGCTACCAGCATGCCAGACGATGAGACCACACGCAATACCGAGTTTTCTTATTAGTCTTTTTCCGCCCTCCCTCTTCTGTCCAATGCCACTCTCGCGAGGCTGGGTTCGATCAGATGGATCGGATTCGATGTCGATTCTGGCCGGCCCGATCCGATCCGATTCGATTCCGATATTCCGAAGATGCGATGCAGCCCGATGTTTTTAAGGCGCCGTTGTGCGCCCTGGCGCGGTCAATGTGATCTGCTGTCGACTTCGTGCTGGTGCAGACCGATCCGACGCGCATTCCGATGAGACTGCTTTTTATCCCCCGGCGTGATGAAGGGGGGGAGGGAGAAGGAGGCCGGTCACGTCACAATTCGCGCAGGCGCTGCTTGGGAATGCTGGGGAATGTCCAGTTTCTACAACGGCGCCGGCGCGGATCGTGACGTGACCAGGGGGGGGGGAGGGGCCGGGCCGGTCACGAGCGCTCTGTCGCGAAGCATAAGATCTCCGATTTCCCGATCCGATGCCGCCGGATCTGGGCCCCCCGCGCCCAGGCAGGGTCTCCATGCCCGAGGTGATGGCCCACCCGTTCTGGCACGGGCCTGCCGAGCCCGCCGCGCCGTCGCCGCGGGCGGCCCCGGGCGGGGAGGCCGCGCGGTGACGTGGCCGGCCGCGGCTCCTCCCGCGGCCCGCCGCAACTTCCTCCCCCTCCTCCCCTCCTCCGCCTCCTACCCCTCGTCGTCTCCTCCTCCTCCTCCTCCTCCTCCTCCTCCTCCTCCTCTACCTCCTCCTCTTCCTCCTCCTCTTCCTCCTCCTCGCCTCCTCCTCCTCCTCCTCCTCCTCCTCCTATCATCAGCATCATCACATCATCACCATCACATCATCATCATCATCATCATCATCATCATCATCATCATCATCATCATCATCATCATCATCATCGTTATCGTCATCATCATCATCATCATCATCATCATCATCATCATCATCATCATCATCATCTTCATCATCATCATCATCATAGCCTCCTCGGCCCGAATCGTTTCTGTTCAGGAGGGGAGGGTTTCGATCGACCGAGACGGGGTGCGAGGCAGCATGCAGTAGGGCGCCCCATCACATGTGGTTGGCCTTGCTGGCGTTCAGTTTGCTCATGCCGACTGTTGCTCCACAGCATCGCTTGCTGTTCATCCAGTATAGCGCTCCCGCTCAAGCGCGGGCTGGCTGAGATTCTGAGGACCTTGGAGTGCGCCCGCGTCATCAGCTTGACAGATACGGCAGGCGACGGTTTCCTTCGATGGTTCGTTGAAGGAGCTGCGGGTCCTATCGAAGGCTTCGACGTGTACCAGTGGTTTCTTTCTGTTACCAAGGGGAGAGCACGTCGCAGACGACGGCAGGACCCAGCGCAGGGGACGAACATTTCCACTAATTGCATGTTGGTGGTCAGTCGGAAATTTGTGGGTCGAACTCACTTCGGTCAATCGTCCACCTGAGGCATTGCAGGGACGAGGAGGAGCACTCCATGTTCGTTGGCGTGGTCATCTTGAATTATATTTCATCACAATGTACTCTCTGCTCCTACACGAGGACGAGAGCGAGAGAAAAAATGCTATTCATACTCACTCTTGGATTGATTCTGTATTATGTGAGTTCCCAACTCGATGTGCAACGATCTGGTTGATGGATGGTAATGTCCACGTGGGGTTTTGAAAGTATGAATTCGGAATGGCACACATATCGAAACCGAGATGCGGTTGGGCACAACGAAGTCGAGCAGGATGACCTCAGTGGCACTCCATACCGACATTTGTTGAATCGACATGGAACGGCGCTCGTCAACACACAGTTCGAGCCAGGATGTGGGCCCACCTTTTTCAAGGACCAAAGTCGCACCAGGATTGACTACTCACCGCCATGCCGCAGGATGCTCTCCAGCTTGTTTCCACTTGCTAGGTGTGGATACGGACGGGGTAGAACTTGCAGATGACGGACAAGGCTCCCACAAACGTGGACTAGCTGGCACTGGGAGGATCAGACTTGTATGCGATGCGATCACGACCGAATCCTCACAGCACGACGGACGGAACATTTCATGTATTTTCACACAGAAGCCTGACGATTGGGCGGCGGAGGCTGACAACGCAATTCTCACGCAGACGGCCTTCGATCATAATGACGCGGACGGGAGCTGGTACTACGCGAATAAGGTATTACGGAGCGTTGGCGCAAATCTGTTCCGAGCCCCCCGCCCAACTCGATTGTTGCGGAGCCCGAGGACACGGGCAAAGTGAGACGGGAGTCTCATAATATGCGTATGTTGCTTGCTGAGAGCCCAGAGGGCGAGGCCCGCCAGGCTGTGGGCGAAGTCTGCAAGAACCTAGGCTTGCGCAGCTGGCGTTTGAAATGGCGGGATGCGAGGCGGCGGCGGGAGGGGTGAGTTCGGGAACTCAATCTTGCCACGCGCGCCCGCGACGGTCGCGCGGCGCGGCGTGGGGCCCGTCTTGGACCCGAGCGACGGTAATATAATGCTTTCACTTCTGTGCCGCCTAATATATGGGGTCGGGATCAGCGCGTTGGTCTCCCTGGCCCAGAAGGGGGCATGCAGGCTGTGGTTTTATGCTCTGGGGCCGCTTCCGACGCTCGCCCCGTCGCGGAGCGGTCGCGTTTGCTGTCGCGTGATCTTGTGCGCCGATCTAGCCAGTGCGCCGCTCTTAGCGTGTGACAGTGACGGAGGAATTTCCGCTCGCTCGACCTCTCCCTCCTCCTCTCTCGAGCTTGTCCCTCTCCCTCAGGTCGCGCCTGAAACTCGCGCGACGAGCGACGAGGGCGTCGCGGGCTTCTGCGCGGGCCTTCGAGGAGCAAGGCGCGAAAGGCCGTGCCCGAGTAGTCTGCGCCTCGCGAATTATGGATTATTGCTCTTTCTGTCCCTCTCTCGATCGGGGGCGGTCCGAATGAACGCGTCGGATCTTTTCGTTGTTTAAATTGATTATCGCGGCGGCCCGCGGAGCCTGCTCGATTCCGAACCTCCGGGGCGCGAGCCAGGGATGTCGCGCCGGCAAGAACGGCGGACAAATCAGATGTGCAAGGCGAGCGTCTGCCCCATGTGTTAGCCCCCGTAGGTAAATCTGGCGTCGGTGCCGTTTGGAAGCGCGGGCCAGGCTGCGCGGCGCATCGCAGCGTGTGTTTCCGCGGGGGCAGGGGGCGGGGACCGCTTATATCCTGCAACGTGAGCTCGCGCGTTGGCAGTTGTCCGAACAGGCCATGGGCTGGTTCACTGCGGCTTCTGATCAGGCCAACGCGTTCGATTCAGTGTCTCGCTCTGCTCTCGACTCCGCGATCTACCGGGCCCCGGGCGCGGCGGGCGCTGCGCTCGCGGTCGGCGGACATCGGCGCGCCGCGACTTTGCGCGGACCGACTCGGGGGAGCGGGGCTCGTTTGCGCAAGGGCACGGGGGCCTGCGAGGAGAGCAGTCTGCGCCCGATCGCTTCTTGCAGGTGTTTGGCCCTGCCGCGGGCGAGTGGACTGAGCGGTTTCGCTCGGATCAGGAGCTCCAGTTCTCTATGGCCACGGGCCCTTTTTTCTCGAGCTGCCGTCGGCGTTTCCCACGGCGCGCGCGCCGACGATATGGGGGGGGGGGGGGTCGGGGCTTGCCGAAGGGGTCCAAGAAACCGCGCGGAAACCCGAATGCGGGGGCAACTCCTCGGGGCAGATCGTCGCGAACCCCATGGACCTTAGACGGAAGCTTGACAAGAAAGTGCAGATGTTTCGGCAGTGCGGGAAGGGGGCCCCGACCGCGATGAAGATGTTTTACCGGCAACTGCAGCTCCCTGGCGAGGCCAGGCAAGCGGCCCGGCATCTTGGGGCCCATCATCAGACGGACGGGCGGGGATATCACGAGCACGGGGAGAGGCAGAGGGCGGCGAGGAGTGGTGGCGGTGTCGGGGGGGGGGGGGGGGGGGGCAGTGATGGGGCATTTCTGGGGGCGGAAAGGTATCTCGATGAAGATTTAACGCTTTGTGTTTCTCGGCCTGGTTCGCTCGCATCTTTCGGGGTGGGGGATGGGGGGGCGCGGCTTCCAACCCAGCGGCTGCGTGATCACATGGGCCGTTTTGCGCAGGCTCATGGTCGCGCGTTGCTGATGGGCGGCGCAAGTGTCAAGGGGCGCGATGACCGGAGTGCTCGCGTCGGGCGCTGTGCCGCGTCAAACGAACAAGGGCGCCCCGTTCTAGCAATCCCCGCAGCCGAGAACGCGCCGCGCTATCGGCGATTGGCGCGGGCCCAAAAAATAGCCCAACGACCCCGAGGTAACGCAGCTGCTCTGGCTGCTCTCACTGGTCGTTCTGGCGAGGGGCGCCAACGGATCGCCTCCAGGGGGGAACCAACCCATCATGCGAATCCGTGGGTCAAGCATCGGGGTCGAGGCCTTTCGGCCCTGGGAAGAATGAAACCTCGAGCTCGGGAAGCTCTTGGCGGGCGTGGGCGGCGGGGCCATCTCGAGTCTGACCGTCGTCATCTCGAGCTTCAGTTCCCGAGCCTCAGCTCAGCATCGTGAACGGCCCTGGTGCATTTGTCCGGATCTTATCGAGGAAACGGGGTGCCGGCGCACGTTTGCATGTCATACCTTTCAGCAACTTGCAGCACATCGAACCCGTCAGCACCGTTCTCGTGCTCGGTGGAGACAGGCGGCAGTTCCTGTTGCGAGCCCTGTTTCTCCAGAGTGGGCGCCATCCGTCGGCGCCCTGAGGCGCGAGGGCGGAAGATTCATCCGGGCGGTCCCGAGAAAGGGGGCTCGGCCATTTCGGGCCTGGCAAAATTTCAGGCCCCAGAGGCGCTCGAGTGTCCAGTGCCCGCCCCTTTCTGCGCATCTCCAGCCTCTCATCCGCCACCCGAGTTGCACGGTCGCATTCGCTTGCATGTCGTGGGCGGCGCCTGCGTGACGTTGCAGCCCTGTATCAAATGTGGACAAGCTGATGGCGCTCCCGTCGGCGACCCCAGCAGCCAAGCATCGCGCGGTGGGCTCCGCGAGCTGCCATCAACGCAGCCAAGAGCGCGGCGGGGGCTGGCCATCAACAGGACACGCGGGGGCCGGCCATCAAGGCAGCCACGAGCGTGGCGGGTTTCGACGGGGCCAACAGGAGGTTGCAGGGAGTGCCGAGTCAGGTGGCGGTCGTGGGAGAACAGCACCCCTGCCTGCGAGACCGAGAAGCGAGCGGCGTCGCCATCAGAAGGCAGGGCGCTTCTCGTTCAAGTGCATGTTCGCGCGTGGATCGAGTTGGTGATCGCCGCGCGAAGCAGGCAAGCCGGTCCCGGAGGACAAGGAGAAGGCGCCGACCGCGCACCGCGCCAGCCAGTCGAATCTCGACGCGATCGGAGGCCATGCCATCACGCGCTTTTAGAAGAAAGCGCATCGGCAGATGGCGCGGGGGGACAAGGACAAGTTCAAAATCGAGCTGCTGGTCATTCCCGAGCTGAGGGCAGCATCGGCGGATATCATGAATGCTGTCGATTTCAAGCCCGAGGTGAAGATCAAGAAAGGTGCGCCCCCACGCAACCCCAACGTTCAGAAGGTAGCGCGCGCTTGGTGCAGGTCGGGGAGTTCCAGAGCAGCAGCAGCAGCAGCAGTACACAGGGGGGATCACTGTGATTTCAGACGCGGAGGACATAGCGCTTGCGGAGGGCAGTTTCGCAGAGATGGACCAGCTGACCATATGAGAGGCCTGTCGGCTAATC